TTGAACTCGTATAAAAATTATTCAAATTATCTACGTCTGTATGATTTGTTTAGTGATATATATTACTTCATTTATTCTACGTTTATTAGTATTACTTTCATTATGAAGGATTTTGGGGTTTTTTTAAATCAAATTCGTGTTTAGTTTGCATAAGATGATGAGAAAGTCCAGCATTTTTGAATTACAGTTTTGTTATGTTACTTTTTTAAACCATAGCGATGTCTGTCCAAAGTATGATTTATTGTTACTATTTGATGGTTTATTTTAAAAATAATATTTGTTAATTATCGGTAAATACTTTATCTTTAGTTAATCATCTATTTTACTAATTTGTTTGCTTGAATATTTAAAAATAATAATAAACAAATATATTCATAAAAACGACAGTAATATCATCACAGTTTATAGCCATAATATTATTTTAAAATATTAAAATACCAAACATTTTATTAAATTCTAACAGCTTTTTTTTTTTTTTTCCTACCCTCCAGGAATTTCTTGATTACAAAATACAATATATATTAATAGTATATATTCATGAATTTTCAATTTCATTTTATTGCCCATGGGCATTTTAAGGTAAGAGGGCTATGCACGCTATATGCGTTCTTTGCATCTGTGGCCAGAGGCCTAAATTCTAATAACAACTAAACAATTTCATGAAATATATTAGCAAGCATGAAAATAAAACGAGCGTATCATAATTAAATAAACTGAAAAAAAAAATGTAAAATACTTGTATTTAATCAGGAGCTAACTTGATGGTTGTTGATGTGATGTGATACTGGCTTAAATAAGAAGAAAATACACAATAACAAATGAAAGAACATTGTAAGGGGTCCAAGCGCTCGAATTGCAACTCTTTAAGTGTAAATACACAAACCTTACTATCCGCCATGTTGGTTAAGGGCAAGATAAAAGGGACTTTGGGTTAACATGAATACAAAATTTTAAATTGAAAGTTGTTTTTTCCTCAACCTTTTCGTCGGATGGAAGGTTGTCAATTCTCCAAAGCACCATTTATTTAATTGCAGGAATAATGTAGTTTGTCTTATTAATAATTTACAAAAGGTAACGGTCCAGAGGTCTGAGAATTTGAAATCAAATATTTAAAAGTAAATCTGCATTTATTTTTTAAATTAGCTTAACAGAATTATTCTGGCAACGCAGGTATTGTTAATCATTTATCGAATGAAATAATTAAACATTAAGTGAAAACTAGTTTAGAACACCCCGTTCCTAATGAAAAATAAAATAAGTGAATGAAATAAGGTTAAATAAGAGAATTCAAACATTTTTTTTATTTAATTTTAGGGTAGGACTGAGAATAAACCGTATTTCAAGAAAAAACCTCTTCACCATTAATTTTGACAATGCAACATTTCTTTAATTTATGATATTTACGACAGTATTAAAATAAAAATACATCTAGTAAATGTGATATAGAGAAATACAATGACATGAAAAGATTTCTAGAGGAACTAAGCATTGGTGTTCATCTAATAATTTTTTTTAATTAGCAGATCACGAGACCATCTACTTTTCAGACGCCTCAGGGAGTTATCAGGAATTGAAGAGCAAAGAAAGAAACGAAAGAGTTCGGATGGTTTTGAAGTTTATGATGGAAGGATAATTTTCTGGATTGGGTCAAATCAGAAACATATGGAACATTATGGTATTTAAGGATAATTTTATTTGTCACAAAGCAAGGAGCATTCAGGAACGATTTCACGAAGGATTTTGGAATCCAGTGGTTTAGTGGAGCCCCAAAGTTCAACTCCTTAAATCCAAAGAAACCTTATTATAATCATGTATTTGAGTCTTTTGCAATTAATTCTAAGCTTAAAGTGTTTGTCTAGTAAGTGCTGAAGCAGTCGGAACATTGAGCGGTTTCTTGCCGTTTCAATCTTTTATGAGTATTCCAAATAAGAAGTTGTCCAGGTGGAGTCCTAGGTATCGAATTTGTTCAATGGGGAAAGTTGAAGTAGGAGGAATCAGATAAAGATTATAAGAAATTTTTTTTTTTCGAAGTAAGGTTTGCAGATGATAGTTATTATATTTGTACATGCTTAGGGATCAACCTCTGAAACACACACACACACAAAAAAAGAAAACAATTCAATACAATTCTGAACTTCACCACCATATTTTCCCCTCCATTTTGCTGCGAACTATTCCTGTTAAGTTAATCCATTAATTGGTGAAGTGTGCGCACTCCCATCCTATTTGACTAGAAATCGTAACAGAATGAAAAAATGAGGTTCTAAACTGAGTTTCTAGTTATATAGTTATGTAAATACTTCTTTTATTACTTATTTTTAGTTGTTTTTTTTTATTGTAATATGCATTTTTGCCAGATGTTATGCTATTTTTTATGTACAAGAATGTTATTCTCAAGGGACTTTGTCCCAGAATAAAGTTGATTCTTCTATTCTATTCTAAAAAAAAAAGTTATTTAAAAGCAAAATCGCTTCTAACATTACAATGCCATACTACAAAATTATCAGCAATATGTACTTCATCTGTCAAGAACCACAAAATTGTACAAGAGGACAGATTTTATTTCTTCTTTGTTTTTTATTCAATTATATGCTTTTAATTCATTTAATTTAATTTAAATAATTTATATGTTTTTAATCAAGTATTAAATTTCAGTGAAGCAACCTCATACCAATTCTCACAATAACCAGCGCGACATAATTCAATAACAGATCAATGGGTAATATTTGGCTCACACCAAATTACCGTGATCGAACAGTACACTTGAGTGAGGACATGGCAAATAACTGCGAAAACGTAAAAATAATTATAAAAGGCGATTGATCTGTTCTTTTAATTTAAACATATTTACTTATATTTTATGGCAAAAGATTTGCAAATACATTAAAAGTCCATTTGTGCTTGTTTAAGGTGAAAATTTTCTAATAATATAAAATGAGGCTTTGTTTATTTTTTCACCATATCACCACATATATCATTACAGTAAGATTCGAAATCGGTTTTGTACCAAATATAAGCTCTTGTCATGCTCAAATACCATGAATGGAGTACCGTTGGATTCAGAATATGACGGTGGATTAGCGAATCGTATTCTCCAATTTTGTTTTTCTTTCTAAAATAAATAAAGTCGATACAAACATTTTGCTAGGTTTCAATAATGGAACGGTGGCAGGTCTGTAGATCGATACGAGACAAATTGGATCTTGAAGATTTTGATGCGTACGAAATTCCTCCGGAACTATCGGATTTTTTTTCGTTTTTAAGCCCAAAAACTTACTATTTTCGAGAAAACGCAAGGCATAGGGTTCGCATCCTCACAACCTTACATAAATTGTAGTAGTGTCATTGAATATATGTCTCATTTCGTCGACTTGAGGACTCTATGATCGAGAGAGGAGGAGTGTATATTAATTATCGATGGCGATTTTGATCGGCAAGGCATATCATCGTTATGTTTTCACCAAATCTCAAGATTGAGCCACCAATTTTGAAGGCTTCCTTCTTCTTCAGGAGAGCAAAATAGCCCAATCACTCCGAAAATTCAGGCAAACACGTCATGAAAGAAAACAAACTTTATTTGCGTATAACTAAAACATTACACACTTTTCCCTTGGCCATGATTATATAAAAGATTACTTAATTTCCTACAAAAGGAAAACAAAATCATCAAAATCGGACAATTTTTAGCAAAGATACAGCTTATTGAAATTTGTAAATATGTTGGTTTCTAACAAAAATGAAGATTTAAATTAATTTTTCTTTCCTTTGTCGATTATATATATATTGATAAAGTAACATTTGATTTATTTATCTTTTGATACCTTGCCTTATTTTCTTTTCTTATTAATTTGGCATTTGATAACAATAATAATAAGAAAAGGCTTAGCGAACCCGAAGATTCGATGCCGACACCACCAATCGCTTATTACACACCTCCCTCCACCGTTCGCCGTCCAAACCCAGTCCCTTCAGATCGGCTTTAATGCAATCTTCCCACCTTCGCTTCGGTCTACCTCTCGGACGCTTACCATTCGGCACAGCAAATATTAACCTTCCAGGAATCCTCTCCCTAATAAGTCAAACAACTTTACAAGCCCATTTGATTCGCCTTGATGAAATTACCTCAATTATATTACCCGGATACAGCTCACGCAATTCGGCGTTGTGTAACCGTCTGAACTCTCCGGTTAACTCATCCTTCTTCGGTCCGAATATTCTACGCAATACTTTATTTTCAAAAACCTTAAGACGCTGCTCATCCCTTAATGTAAGCGGCCAAGTTTCGCATCCATAAAGAACTGTAGGCAAGATAATTGTTTTATAGATTCTAATTTTTAAGTTCCAGGACAAGAGGCGCGAACTAAGTAGTTTTGTCACAGAAAAATAACAAGTATTTCCCGCCTTCAGTCTAACCTTAATCTCTTCTTCAATTTCGTTTTTTCTATTTATCGTAGAACATAGATAACTAAATTTATCTACCTCTTCAAACATATTACCATCTATATCGATATCACAAGTAGTTTAGCCATTTTTGCAGCTAACCATATATTTTGTTTTATTCACGTTTATTTCGAGTCCTTTTGATAACAATATGCTGTGCGAATTTTCGCACGGGCCTACTGGTTCATTGTTATTTTCATAGCTACGTTTCGGCCGGTAAGCCATCTTTAATAAGTGAGCAGCACAAAGAAACATACAACAACGTGCAACCACCCAACTACGTTGCACCACGGAAGGTTGCACGTTGTAGTATGTTTTTTTGTGCTGAACACTTATTAAAGATGGCTTACCGGCGGAAACGTAGCTATGACAATTAAAATGAATATGGTGAAAATATAAACAGAGCCTTAATTTTTAATACATGAAAAGCCCTATTTTAGGGAAATGAATTTTAAACATGATGACCACTTATGTGTAATTACATAACTTTTTTTTTATTATTTCTTTATTATTTGTGAGATGGAATCATTAACACTTGTCTTGTTCCATTCTCTCTTCAGTGAACTTCGCCCCTGAGCTGTGCTGGGGCGGCAAGGCGACTCCGGCCTCCGACATCTGGGCGCTGGGCTGCCTCCTGCACCACATGGTGAAGGGATCCCTCCCGTTCACTGCGCCCTCCCTGGCCGGGGTGGTGAGGACCATCGTGAGCTCAGGGCCGGTTCGCCTCCCCGGCTACTCCAGACTGCTCTGCGAGCTCCAGCGGTCGCTCCTCGCCAAAGAGCCCAGGGCGCGCCCTACGGCCGACCAGCTGCTGGCGCATCCACTCCTCGCCATACCCGTCTTGGAGGCTGGTCTTCCCAGACCGCTCCAGGTCTCCGAATTTGAATTCTATGGTATATAATAGCAGCTGAAGCCGAGGAAGGTAATTTCACTTGAGTATGAATTGAAGTTTTAGTGATAGAAATATAGTTGACTGTTGAAATAGTAAGGATGAAAAATATACACGTTATGCAGTCAATAATCATGTTTATTAAGTTTGTCGATCCTTCTATATATTATTATAAACACATATGTTTGATTATTATCCATCTGTACTGTAGTTAGTTATGATATATTAGTTAGTTTAGTTGTAATGTAATACTTTTTTCTAGATTACTTACTTACTAATGCATTTTTATATTCTTATTACTTTTTGACATTTACATTTAGTTTTGATACTTCTTTAATATTTTCTATTAAATAGCCGTTAAATGACCTCTACAAACACTCCCTTCCCGACTCCCAACCATATCCGTAGGTGCCCGGTACTTTTCTTGTCTTTAAACCATTTAGCTAAGGCTTGGAAGTCGGTACGCAAGTATTATACCACTCCCTTTGTTCCATTATTGAAATTTAAGTTTATATTCGGAGGTAATTATATGTAGCAACATATTCTAGGATTTAATAATTCATTCATGTGCATTCTACTATGTTTACTTCATGATTTTATTACATTTCTAGCGGCAAATTTGAACCATCGGAAAATTAAGATTTCATCACACTGCTTCAAACCTTTAAATACAAAATAAAGTTATGTAATATATTCAATTGGTTTATTAACAAATTTTCAAATCAAGCATTAAAAAAAAGGAAACTAATATATATATATATATATATATATATATATATATATATATATATATATTAATTACATCTCATTGCAATATATATATAAATGGGGTTGGGGTAGCCTTGCGGGCTAAGGCGCTTGCAATATGTAATCCAAGTTAAGCAACACCGAGCATGGCTATTGGATGGGTGACTGTTCACCAAGGAAAGCCACGCGGCCTGAGATCCTCCCCCTTCGGTATGTGAGGACCACCAGCCTACTGGAGGCAACTCATACCGACCGGGCGTAGGACTGATGACTCAACCCCTTACTTTAAATCGGGAACCGGGATACGGACACCACACTCGCGGTCAAAGTCACCAATCTTCGTGGTCTGCAGCGCCAACCGAAAAAAATATAAATTAAAAAAACAATATATATGTATGTATGTATATATATATATATATATATATATATGTATATATATGTATATATATATATATATATATATATATATATATATATATATATTATATATGTATATATATATATATATATATATATATAATATATATATATATATATATATATATATATATATATATATATATATATATATATACATACATACCTCCAGTTGCCTCCAGTAGGCTGGTGGTCCTCACATACCGAAGGGGGAGGATATATATATATATATATATATATATATATATATATATATATATATATATATATATATATATATATATATATATATATTACTGTGTTGTTAATTTTACAATAATTATGTTCATTACGTTAATTATCACTCAAACTTTTTATGCATAATAAAAACGTCCGAGACTTTTTTTGGGTGGGAATTGAAAATCAGCGCCTATGTTGGTTGTTAAGCAACTATTTATATTTGTTAATTTTTACATTTTATTTATTATGAAACTAATAAGAATGGCATTACATTTTTGAATACTTTTAATAATTTCTTCTTTCAATTTTTTATGGAATCCGTTTTCTTCTATTGTCATCCTTAAAATAAATAATATGACAAACCCTAAAAGAAAAAAGGATACAGGACGAAGACATTATGCATTTGTTTTTTGCTTAGTTTTAATTTTCTTATTTTTAGGTTATTTTATTTATTGTATATACTTTTTGGTGATTAGTTATTGTTATTTTGCTTCTATTTATTTCATATTTTGTTGTACATTTAGTGTGAATGATATCCTACCTCACTATAACTAGTGTCCATGTGGCAGATTGTTGTAATACTCAATAAAAAAAAAAGCTTTACGTTAACTTTTTGCATTCTTCTTATTCATTCAATGGTATTATTTGTACTAATTACTTGATTGATTTATTTTTAATTTGTATAAACTTATTTTTTTTTATTTTATTTACAACTAAACATTCTCTTACCATATTCTTATACTTTTATTGATGTTATGTTTGTATTAATATTTTCTCATGGGTAAGTTTAATCTTTTTTCCTTCTCTTATTCACTAATATTTATTATTTTTCAGACTTTTTTTTAGTTTAGGTACTGATGATAACCACGTGCTTGTGTCGAAACGTCAAGAAATTTAATACAAATAATCATTGATTGCATATCCTGAATATTTTTCATCTTTATATTTAATTTTTAATTTTTATACTTTTTAAATTAAATTTACTAACTCTAAGCATCATTTTTTTTTCAGTCTTGTAATTCTAAACACAAAATCTATAAAGAATTTTCCGAGGCGTTGAATGGCCCTAAGAAATATTAGCAACAATATTGACTTGCAACACGAAGAATATAGCAACAAACAATACTCCTAAAATATTTTAATTATTGAAACGTTGTATGAATAGATTGTGAACTAAATAATTCATAAAAATGAAAATATCTATCCATTAAAATATAATGATTTGTTTTATTTTTTGTATTTATATATTTTTATACCTTTTAAATCCTGACAGCTGGAACCTATTTTTATAGAAAAGTTTTAAAATAGTTTCACATAACTGAATTGCTGATTTTCGGGTAATCAGCATAAAGAAGGAACATTTTGTTTTACAGTTGGCTGGAGCATAGCCATACCTGTAATAAAAACCTTCACTGGAATCGATTTGATAGAGATAAACCGAGTTTGCGTTTACTGAGCGCAGCTCGGCAAAAATGAAGGAGGGAGGGGGTACACAACAGTGTGTAGCTGAAGAAGTTAACGAAACCTTGGAAAGAGATAGAAACACCACTGAAGAAAGTAATGAAAGAATAATGACCCATGAACTGGAAAAGCAAACAAGCCACCCAACTTATGCACAAGTCATGTCAAATCAAAAACCGTCAAGCCGTGAGTATGCCATTGTGTTACAAACAATTAAGGGAATTAAACAGAAAGAATATGTTGCAAAAATTGCAGACTTAGTAGAACCAAATGCAATTAAATTTGCATCACGTATATCCAACAATAGGTTTTGCATTCACTTGTCGAACAAGGAGCAGGTAGATAAATTACTATCCAAACATAGAGAAGTTGTGATAGACGAACATATAATTCCAATTCGTAGATTAGTAAATTCAGCAAAACGTATTATAATATCAAATGTATGCCCTAGCATTCCAAATTACGTAATAGAAAACGAACTCAATAGAATGGGAATCAAACTACTTTCACCAATGTCATTTTTAAGGGCAGGATACCAGGACCCCAAAACAAGTAACATCATGAGCTTTAGGCGACAAATCTTTATTAATCCTGAAGATATCAGTCACCTAAAAACATCAATCGTAGTCCAAAATGAAGGCCTTTCTCACAGAATCTTCTTAGCGGAAGATATCTTAATTTGTTACATCTGTAGAAAACCGGGACACTTCGCTGCAAATTGCCCTGACTCGGACGATATAGACGATGAACCATGTTTACAAACCCGTCCACTAATGACTCCTAACAATCAAACCAAACTTTCAACTGAAACTGAAATTATAAAAACCAACACGGTTAATCAAAATAGTGAGTTACCTACTAACAGAATTACAGAAAAAGAAATTCCCACAACGTTAATTGAAAAAAATAACAATAGCAACAATATTAAGCCAATAGAAAGTATAAATGGCTCATCGGCAACAATGAAAACCACTAAAGGAAAAAACACTCTACAAAACATTACTACAGACAAAAAGACCATTCTTAATACACCAGAGAAAAAAATAACTGATTTAAATAAAAAGGAAAAAATAATTGAAGAAAAAAATAACTTACAGCAAAAAACAAAACCGACCACAAAAGATATACTAGAACCCATCCGTGACTTATTAATGAAAAACAATTACCCTCTTCAATTTAAAGAAATTTGTCTATTATACGAAACAATTCAGATAGAAAAATTGTCATCAAACACACCTGATTTGATAAAACAATTCACAAAGGATAAAGAAGGGTTAATTAGGATGCTAACAGACATTAAGGGATTCGTAGATCATAGAGGTATAAAAATATGGTCAACAAAAATTTTGAAACTACTGAACGGAAATGACCTCACCGAGATCACACCAGGTGAGAAATTTTCGAAGATATCAACGGGCAACAGAGTCTTTAAAAAAGAAAAACTCAAACATGGTAAAAACGATTCAATGGAATTGTAATGGTTACTACCGACACATCGAGTACTTTAGAAAATTAATGACTGAAGAAAACCCTATTTGTTGTTGCTTACAAGAAACACACCTCAACGATAAGCAAATAGTAAAATTGCGAAATTACAAAATATTCAGAAAAGATAGACTGTCTGAAAGAACGTGGGGAGGAGTAGCCACGTTTATCTTAGAGAACATCTATTGCGAAGAACTACCACTACAAACTCAATTTGAAGCACAAGCTGTCAAGATATACTTAAACGAACCTTTGACAATCTGTAATATATACTTACCATCTTCACAGGAATTCACGGATACAGACATAGAGGGAATTGTAAACCAGCTTCCAAGACCTTTTCTAATGCTAGGAGACTTCAATGCCCACAGCACCTTATGGGGTTCGAAGCTTCCAGATTATAATCACAGAGGTAGAAATATCACAAAATTCCTTGAAAACAACACTTCAACAGTACTTCTAAACTCAGGGGATAACACTCATTTCAGCTCAAAAAATAATAATTTCTCCGCAATAGATTTAAGTTTCTCTGATGCAAGATACTCACCTAAAGTAAAAAATTGGAGTACTAAAAGCCATTTGTACGGAAGCGATCACTTCCCAATTATAATTGAAACATGGGGAAACAGTATTATTATGCCATCGAACACCAGATGGAAATATGAAAAAGCAAATTGGGAAGGTTATAAAAAATCGATTATCCAAGGCTTACGAACCATACCATATGGACAGAATTTAGAAGAGAAAATATTTTATTTTAACGAGTTAATTATTAACACAGCAAAAGAAACTATTCCTACAGTCAAAAATAATATGAAACCTCATGATGTACCGTGGTGGAATCACAATTGCAATGAAGCTATAAGAGCAAAGAAACGAGCCCTAAATCGATACAGAAGAAGTAGAACTGTTGAAAATGCAATCGAGTTCAAGAGACTGCGATCTATTGCAAACAGAATAATCAAAGAAAGCAAGAGAGCATCGTGGAAACAATATGTTTCTTCCATAAACTACCTTACCCCGACGAATGAGATATGGAACAAGATCAAGGCCATCAGAGGAATTAGGAAGCAAAACTTAATTTCAGGACTTAATATTGACGAACAGATCATAACGGATCCACAGGACATTGCTGAAGCCTTTGGAAAATATTTCAGAGAAATATCTTCCTCAAGCTGTAGCGATGACGCGATAAATGATCATGAAATGCATCAAAATTGCATTTCTGGGCAGAGCCACTCTGCTGAATACAATAGACCATTTCGACTAGATGAACTAAATTCTTCGCTTAATAAGTGCAAAGGAAAATCAGCTCCTGGTCTCGATGAAATTCCAGGAGAGTTCATAAAGCAGCTACCAGAAGCAGGGAAAATATATCTTTTAAATATATATAACGAAATTTGGACAAGCAGAACATTTCCAACTAAGTGGAGGAAATCTGTCATAGTACCGATACCAAAAAAAGAAAAGAGCACCGTTCCCAAGGACTATCGGCCCATTTCCCTTATCTCATGCGTTTCCAAAATTCAAGAAAGGATGGTCAATATAAGATTGACTAGTATGCTGGAATGTAAGAATGTCCTTTATCCATACCAATTTGGCTTTAGGCCAAATCGTTCAACTATTGATTCTCTTTTATCATTAAGCTTAGAAGCGCAGGAAGCTTTTTCACACGGAGAACACTTAATATCAATATTTCTGGACCTTGAAAAAGCTTATGACACAATGGAAAGAGGACGTGTGTTGAAGATTTTGGAAGAACTAGGAATAGGAGGAAATATGTGGTATTACATTAAAAATTTTCTAACCGGTAGGGAATTTTCAGTAAGGGTAGGAAATACTTTCTCGTCAAACCATCGCTTACAAAGGGGTACCCCACAAGGATCTCCTCTTAGTTCGACCCTATTCCTTCTTGCGATTAATAGTATAGGGTCCATTATCAAGACCCCGACCAAATGTTTTCTATTTGCCGATGATATTGTTATCACAGCCAAAAGCAAATCTATTCCCTATATACAGTGGAGGCTGCAAGAAGTGATGAATAGAGTAAAAGATTGGACAAGGGAAACTGGATTTAAGATATCATCTTCGAAGTCTAAATGTTTACACATTTGTAGAAGTCGAAAGTGTCAGCAGAATAATCCACAAATATTTATAGAAGGTTCCTCAATTGAATATACAGAAAGTCACAAGTATCTAGGAATGATAGTTGATAAGAGACTGAATTGGATACAACATATTACATATTTGAGGGAAGAATGCACAAAAAGACTCGGAATTCTTAAATGTCTCTCACACTCTAGCTGGGGTGCCGATAGATGCACTCTAATAAAAATATACCAGTCTATAATACGCAGCAAAATAGACTATGGAGCGCAGATATATAGTACAACCAACAAAACAATATTGAGGATGTTAGATTCTATACACAATTCAGCCCTAAGAATATGCACTGGAGCGTTTCGAACTTCTCCAATCGACAGCATCTACGTTGAATCTGGAGAAACATCCTTAAACTTGAGACGAGAATACCTATCTTTGAAATACATTGCCAAATTGAAAGCATCTTCCTACCACCCATTAACTCCATATTTATTTTCAGAAGAATCAGAACGAAACGGACTTAGAAATATAGAAAATAACATTTTTAAACAAGCAATTTACAATGCAACAACTAAAATAAACATGGATACGACCATTATAAGACCCATCCCAGAATCCAAAATGCCGCGTTGGAAAAAAGATAGACCATTTATTAATAAATCTATGACTAAAATTGCAAAGGCATATCCGCTTGAAATACAAAAATATTTTTTAAAGCTAACGGAACAATATAAAAATTTCGATTTTATATATACGGATGCATCCAAAGAAGGAGGTAGCGTAGGATGTGCTTTAGCGAGTAAAGAGAAACAATTACTGTTTAAATTACCTGGAGAATGTTCAGTATTCACAGGAGAGGCCACTGCCATCATGAATGCTTTATATCTTATAAGCGAAACTGAAAAGAACTACTGGGTAATTGTGACGGACTCATACAGCGTTTTAACTGCCATTGACAATCCATATCCTAAAAACTCCATAATTAGGGAAATACTCAATATCTGGTGGGATTTAAAAAATAAAGGAATAACAGTTGTATTGGTATGGGTACCAGCTCATTGCGGAATTTTAGGAAATGAAAATGCTGACAAGGCAGCCCATTTAGCAAGAAGTGGAGGAGAAGAAGAGGAAGTGACTAGAGTGAAATATATCACTTTAGAAGACTGGGTACACGAAATAAA